TGCATGAGCACTGGACAAGAGGCAGACTTGGAGCAATAAAGTGAGGGCGAGTGTGAGAGCGGTACCCACAGCTAGTAGGAGGAGACACATGCCTTGTCAAGAAGCCCCAAACTCTCTCCCTCTCTCTCTCTCTCTCTCTATTGCATCTACAAGCCATCACAAACCCCGTGTGTGTGTGTGTGTGTGTGTGTGTGTGTGTGTGTGTGTGTGTGTGTGCGTGTGTGTGTGTGTGTGTTTAGGACGCTTGATGTACCAGCTTAGTCCAGTCGTTGGATCTGAGGGTTCAGCCTCAGATAGATTGTTTCATCGGACTTGCACCAACTTGAGGAAGGCGAGAGACCTAGCAGTATAGTAGAGGGAGAACGATGCCTATTAGCTTGTTCTATTCTCCTCTTCTGGGCCTTGAACATGTTGGTTCTGGCTTTCTCTAGGTCTCTCCCATAACTCTTGCTGGAATTCTGCAGTCCCAAGAGTTAGTTTAGGCAAGGCATGTTCTCAAAAAAAAAAAAAAAAAAAAAAAAAAAAGGTTTAGCCTTAGCCTTGTCAACGAGATCATCAACAGGTTGTCTTGGGTCTTTGGCAAAGTGCAGCCTATTGGGTGTAAAGCCTGTAGTGCTGTGAACAGAAGTGTTATACATCAGTTGTGCCCTTAATAGATGTCGGTCCCAGTCCTGCTGACCAGGTGTGATCACACAGGACGCAGCAGCTGAAACAAAACTTGGTTCATCACTTCAGCCTGTCCATTGGGTTTCAGGATGCCTACCAGAAGTCTATGTCTAGCCTGGAATGAAGGTAGTCGTTGCAGAAAGACTGCCACTCATCGCTGCAAAATCTAGGGTGTTATACATCAGTTGTGCCCTTATAACAGATGTCGGTCCTAGTCCTGCTGATCAGGTGTGATCACACAGGACACCGCAGCTGAAACAAAACTTGGTTCATCACTTCAGCCTGTCCATAGGGTTTCAGGATGCCTACCAGAAGTCTATGTCTAGCCTGGAATGAAGGTAGTCGTTGCAGAAAGACTGCCACTCATCGCTGCAGAATCTAGGGTCTCTGTCACTAACAACGGAGGTGGGGCACCCATGGACATTGACCCGCCTCTCAGCAAATAGCTCTCTGACCAGAGGTACTGGCCTCCACAGGTAAGGGAATAAACTTAGCAAACTTAGAGAAATGATCAACACACACCATTACCTGTCTCATGCCCAGATCAGTGAAGTCAATGAACACAGAGTATATCCTCTCTCATCTTAGAAACCCAAAATGACCAATAGAAGCGCTGGAGCAGGGCAGCATAGGTCCTTAGGAGCCCAAAATGACCACGATCATCATGACATTATGGAATTAGACAAGTTATGATTTTCTGGTCGTTAGGGATACACAAACGTTCCTCCCCCTCGCTGATTGTGTACAACAATCCTGAGGTCAAGGCATAGCCAGACTCAAAATTGGTGTCTCAATGACTCTCAAAACAGTTAGTTATGTCGCCTTTGATGGCCCACATTTGGTGTTTTTTGATTCCTACATGGAGGCTCGCAAGAGTCAGAGCTGCGCCGGAGCCTCTACCAGGCTGAAAAGCATGGAACCGGAGGCCTTTCCCTTACCAAGGGAATGCTCTACCACCTGAGCTATGTGGGCTCACGGGGAAATTGGAGACGATCGGACTTGAACCGATAACTTCATACTTACAAAACATGCATTCTAGATTCCTAACTATGGGACCAAAGATTGGGTTTTGAGGCAGTGCATCTGTAACGGCCTGCCTAGTAGAATCCCCAAATGAGTAAGAATGCACAATGGCAACAAAAGTGTCAGGTCTGCGAGAGAGTGCATCGGCCACGCTATTGTAGCACCCTTTCTTGTGCTTCAGTTCAAACTTCAAAGTCAAAGCCATCTATGAACTGAATGTACCTTGCCAGTTTGTCATTCGACTCCCCCTCGGTCTTCATCCACAACAACGTAAAATGATCAAAATAGATCCTGAAGTGTCTACCCAGTAAAAGAAGTGAAGTGTTTCCACTGATTGAAGGCACATATCAGCGCATACAATTCCTTCTCATAGGCAGATGCCTGAACGCGCTGCACTTTTATCTTCTTACTCATGAGTTCTACTGGTTTCATACCAGTCCCATCATCTTGCTGCAAAACTGCACCTACACCATGCTGACTTGCATCTGTGGTCAACACAAATGGCAAGGTAAGGTCAGGCAGTTCGAGCACACGTGCCTGGGAAAAGCCTTCCTTCAATCTGGAGAAAGCCAACTGACAGGTGGGTGTCCATCTAAAAGGGACATCCTTAGCCAACAGGTTAGTCAGGGGAGTGGCAATAGTAGAGAAGTTCCTTGTGAATTTCCTATAGCATAAAGTCAAACCCATGAATGACCTTATATCCCCGACTGTCTGAGGTTGGGGCCAATCCTTAACAGCAACCACCTTAGAGGCTTCAGGGAGAGTCCCTCTACAGAAATGACATGACCCAAATACAAGACAGAAAAGACAC